CCGCCACCAACTTGCAATCAATAATTTATGCGAAAAAAAATTCTGCACATCAACTTTCGTATAGAACTTTTGTATGCAATCGGTTGATAACTGGTTTATTAACAAATTATTTTTGACAATATGAATTTGACATTTTGCTTATAAATATTATATAAGTAAACAATATTAACTAATACCATTCAAAATTTCCATTTTGCAACAAAAATGAAATCAGCAGTTAAAAATTTTTTTGTTACAAGAATACTAAATTTTAAGAATACGACAGGCAATTGACATTATTAATTACGGGACATTTGTTGTTTGCATTATCGGCTACGCTACAAACGTCGACAAAATTGTTGACAACATTAAAATACATTATTGTTAACTGCAACATCGATTTAGGACGATTTAGAACAAAAGAATTCAAAGCGTATTTTACAATATTACTCGTAGTTACGCCTATAAATTAACAATTTTTTTCAAAAATCTTTGAGTTGCTCAAATCAAATCTTTTTATTCTTATTTTTAGTATTTTCCTTTGTAAAACAAATACCTACTTTTGTTTTTTTTTTTTGCATTTACATTACAATCATAACAACAACCTGTACTGTGTTTCTATTTTTTTTTTGTCTTCGTTCACATGATAAATGTTTTCGTATATCATACATAAATAAATAATTATATACATATATGAAAAAATATATAAATTATGTAGATATAATGATTATTTATTATTATATTTTTATATTCACATGAGCATACATATGTATACATACACATGTATATCATGAATATTATATGGACATTTTATGTATACATAAAGATACACGTAATAATTATGGTTACTATCTGATGATTACGTTATAAAGTGGTTTATTAAAAATATAAATGTACCATAAGTGGGAAACCCGTTTGACAGGGTACTGGGACTTGTTTATGCATTATTATGGAAAAACTAGTTAAAAATTTATATACAGATAGTATTTTTATTTATTTAATTTTTTTTTGCAAAAATGTAATGTACATATATTTTGGAAAATAAGATTATATCTGATTCAACAATTTTTCTTGTAAACGTATGTAAATATAATATATATGTATGTATATATTATATTTTTAAATAATATTGCATATTATCTTGTGACATCACATCCGCATAATTATGTAGAGGTATATGCTAAGAAATTGCAAAAAAACAAAGAAAAATGAAAACAAAGTTATTTTTTTTTTCTAAAGTAACATATAATATGTTAATATTACTGTGAATTTCTCCAACATATTATGATTTACAAGTTTTCGTTTAGAATTAATGTTTAATTTTTTTCCTGTGTAAATTTTAAATCTTGTAAGTTTTCTTATTGCCATTGTAAAAGTATAGACATGCAAAATGAAAATGTATGGTATGAAAATAGAATCATTTAAAGTAAATTTGTTTAAAAATTTTGGGCACTTGAAATCGTGAATGCATACATAGGTTTTCATGGAGTATATGTTCTGTAATTCAAAGCCTAAGAAAAATTCATATATTGAAGTCATATTGAATGTTTTTGATTCCAAAACGAAGACATATTATTGAAATTTATAAACTAAATTATAACAATACCGCCAAAATTATTATACTACTATGCAATTTAAGTACTTTTTCGAATTTTAGTATATTTGTTTGATTTTATTAGGTACTCGTATAATTAATTTCTACAGTAACCTTTGTAATAAAAAGCCTATTGAGTTTCAAACCAGCCTATTGTCAAAAGAGTTAATGACCTTTTAGGAAAAATAAAAAAAATAAATAAAAAAATTTTTATTATATTCTTGTTTAAGGACTCCAAAACAATCAAAATATAAAATAATTTTTTAATTTACGTGAATTTTTCAATTACGACTAAAAAATATCAAATTAAAATTTAAATAAAAAATTTCCGTTCCAATGTATTAAAATTTTCCATTCAAATAAAACATAAAATTAATTTTTAATGTTGAATACAATTTTTTATTTATAACGAAAATAAATTTCAGGTCATTAAAATATTAAAAACTTACAATATAAAATATGTACACAGCAATTTTATCACAAACAATTATCATCTTGCATGTACTCACATATCCAAAAATGCCAAAGGAAATTTTGTTAATAAAAATTATATATAAATAGAAAGAATCTAGTTTGTAAAGAAATAAAAAATTCCCGCCATCTATTAAGAAAATATAGAATTATAAGTATATGTATGCATAGTTAATTTTCTTATTACATTAATGAACAAGTTTTGTATATTTATACCTACATATTTTACTTGATTACCTTGTTTATTTTTACATTATTTTCATTATCACATCTTACATAAGCATCTTAATAGAATATGGTGAAAAAAATAAACGGAAGTTCGAGCTAGTAGGATATAAATAGAATCCTGGAATTTTCTTAAATTTTAATAATTCTTAATTATTTTCATATTATTAAAACAGTTATAAATTTGATGATTTTATGTAATATAAATTTTTAGAGAATAGGAGAAGCATTTGAAAGTACCTAGTATTGTAGTTTGTTTTGCAAAAAAATTTTTCTATGATTACATTTTTCGCATAAACACAATTTATATTTATATACTACTTGTATAATATACAATATATAATATATATATTATATATACTTTTATATTTGAATTTGTGTATACACAATATTAGCCAATTATCTTTGTTCGATATGCTATATAGCAAAAATGAAATATATACAAAATATAGTATTGATCGTATGTAAGAAATTAAAAACTTGTTTAACTTAAATTTGTAATTATTTCTAGATAATTTTTTAAATGAAATTTTTTAAGTTTTTTTTTTTTTTTCCAAAAAATTTTTAAAGAGAAAATCTCTTATATTTTGAGATTTCTATAATGTAATTTGCATGGCAGGTGTTCACAATTACCAATCTAAGATTTTTATGATTATCTATGAATGTAAAAAAAAAATAAAATAACAAAAATTAATTATAAAGTTGAAAAGGAAAAAAAAATCGTATAAGCTATTACAAATCAACTGAAAATTAAAATTGTTATATAATGGGCTTCTTTATTTGTTATTTCAAACTATTTATAATTTGTATGAAATGTTGAATTTTGTAATTTATATACAAAGTGATTTTTCATTCACAATAATATTAAGCGTCAGGTATGCTTGTATTTGAACTATAGCTTATAACACTGTTGTTCGGATTTGATATTTATATAAAACAATGATACAACTATGCATGAAAATTTCATTTCATCTCACTTAGTGAATTAAAAGTTTAAAGGCAAGGTACATAAAATGTATGTACTTTGCCTTCAAATGATATTTTCTAAATGATGTAGTAAATATTAAATATGTAACAGACTTCAATATCGTAAATATTTTTACGATATAATTACGATATTTATGATATCGTAAATATATTAAAATTCTGTATTTACTCATACCGTATATTGAATATTTTTATTGATATAAGGACGTTTTTATATCTATTTGTTTTGTATATAAGAATGGTAAATTATTGATTTATTAGGTATGTTCACGAAACTGCATTCAATTTTAATTAAATTGTATTAATTTTTATATATACTTTGACATTGTCAAAAAATAACTTAGGTATTTTTTAAATCAAGTTATTTTAAAACTAGCCTCGACTTATTTTTTAAAATTATTAAAAACGAAAAAATTATAAAAATCAAGTTATTTTTTAATTTTGTCTTGTATAAAGAAACCTACATAATAATTTTTAAAATTTTACGTTTAATATTAAAAAAATTAAATAAATTGCATACATATAGGCGAAAATACCTATGCGAATACATTTGACTTGTCCATAGGAATGAAATAAACGAATTATTGGTTCAATATCTTTTTAAAAGATTTTTCAATGTCTTTTAAAAAAAAAAGTATAAAAATGGATGTTTTTATCCCGCAACGTGTAATTTTTATGTTTTAAAATTAAACAGGCATTTTTTTATCGCTTACTTTTATCGCAGAAATGTAAAACTTGTTTTAGTGCGGCTGATTATTATAGCTTAAACGTCATTTAATTGTTGGGATTTTATAGTAGGTAAAATTTTCAAATATAGAACAAAATAAAAAAATCTGGAAACCAAAAAATGGTAATTAAATTTTTTTATGTATTTTAATAAATTGCTAATTATGTTTTCTTGCATATCCGCGATGATTTTCTAAAAAACAAAACCGACTGAATGCACTTGTTCTTGTGTTTATTTGCAATTGTATGTATATAGGAATACCTGCTACGCAATTACGTGCAAATCTACATATATGTATAAAGAGTCTCAAGGTTGTGTATTGACTTAATTTCATGCCCCTTATTAATGTAATTTAATTTTTGTTTTGTTTTTCGTTAATTATTTTAGTAGAATGAATAATAAATTTTTAATTTTCTTTATTTTCGATAAATATTTTAGAATAAATCAAAGGTTATAATTTAAATGTTTTTATTTTTTTTTTAGTGAAATTTTATAATATTGTAAAAAATAAACAAATTCAATTGAATAATATAATAAGTGTAGTGTGTGCGTAATATAATTAAGTAAATTTAAAAAAAATAAGTTCAAAATGTCATAAATTGTGGATGATTTAGATTTTAATTTAATTTTATGAATTTAAATAATAATAAATAGTCCAATGACTTTAAGAATTCATTTTTAAAATAAATAAGTAAATTAATTATAAGAAGCTGAATGTGGTAATTAAAATAAAAATTTGTACTAAACTTTGATCGTAATTTTCTTTCTCAAAATTATTGTTTAATTCTCTTTCTATATTTTTAGTATACATATAAATGTAAGACTCTATAGTTCCATGTTTGTAAGCATATTTAATTTTGTAGGCGATTTTCTATTGAATATTAACCTTAAGAAATTACATGTTAATCAATAAAAGGAACTTAAGCCTTGTACATCTTTTACCCTTACAAATTTACAAGTTTATGGCTAGTTACTTATGACTAGAATAAAGGAAATTTAATAAATATTTCAACTTACTTGATTTTAAAATATTTTCATTTATTTTTAATGATTTTGTATTGTATATGTTAGGGCTCACACTTATTTCAAATTTAAAAGGGTTTCAAAATTTGTTTTATATTTTGAAATATATGATTTTATTCCGTTATATTCAAGTACCTATTTACACCTTTAAGTTCAATTTAAAATTAAAAAAAAAATTGAAAAAAAAATTTTTAAAACTTTCACGTTGTTGTTGCAAAGCAAAAAGGAAGAATTATTTTTTTTTTAAAATATTAAAAAATAAAAAAACAAAAAAAAACTATAGTTGAGCTTTGTACTTTAAAATTTTAACATTTTGATATCAGACAATCAGGTTATGCTTTGATAGTTTTGGAATTAAAATATTTACGAAATTTTTTTTTGGATATGAATTTCAGGTTCAGGTATATGAGTTTCAAGTTGTAAATTGCGATACTGTTAAAAAGCATTTTGTTCAAAATATAGAATCTTCAAATTGCTAAGTTTCATATTTAATTTGCTTTCCTCTGGGTTCATTCAATTCAATTCAATCAAATATTTTAATGTAGTTTGATCGTAAGTTATGGAATTGATTTGCAAGAAGAACTTATACATAACCCCATCGTAATCCTCATCATTTTATCATTATGATTTTCCAAAATTTACAAAATTAATTTTCTTTATATAATACAGAGAAATTAATGAGCGCAGAAGGTACAACTTTAATTCTGGTGGTGTGTGAACGAATTTTTTTTTAAAGGTGTTCTGTAGAATTAAATTTTCAATTATTTTATTTGCCAAATGATTTCGAATAATTTATAATCAATTGTGTTTTCATTTATTTTGCAAAATATTAAAAAAATTTTTCACAATTTCTAAGTATATATTAACAAACAAATTATAACAAAAACAAAAAATTCTACTTTAAAATCAATTTTTAAATATAATTTAAAAAAAAAAATTGAAAAGAAAATAAATATTGAAAAGTAAATGCAAATATAATGTAATTGAGTTGATGAATTCAAAGGAAATTTACAAATTCAAATTCAATATTTTATAAAAGTTGTGACCGTAAACACATACATACACACACATATTTAAATATATACTTAATGAATATGAAATAATTGAAAAAATAAATTTCTAGAATTGTATGTTAATAAAATTTTTAATATAATTTAGATTGTAATTAATGCAAGTTTCTTGTTGATTTAATTAAAATTATGTTCTTTGACTCATAACGCTTTAAAAGAAAAAATTCATTTAGGTGTTATTAAAAGCACTTCTAAAATTATATGTTTAGGTAAGTATTTCACTAATAATTAGGGTTTTTTCCGTATATTAAAAACATTATAATTAATTTTATCCTTATAAAATATTAATTATGAACATTATATATGTATATGTACTTATTAAAGATTAGAATATGTATAATAACTTTGATTATAATAAAATGGTAATGATATAATTTTTAAATTTCATATATACAGGGTGTGAATCGGTAAGGAGTGCAATATATAATACGTCATCGTTTAATGTATTAAAAATGGGTAAAATTTTTGCTTAGAACTAGGTGCCAAATCTCAATGATGACTCAGTTACAGATATTTTCAAGAATTTTTACTAGCTCAAGCTTTTTTGCTTATAACTTTCCTTATGGAAAAGGTACAGAGTTCGCACAAACAATTTTTGAAAGAACTAGTAAAGCGATTGAAATCAATACATATTTCGTATTTTATATACTTTCGGAATACCAAGAATTTTGAGAAAAATCCCGGTTCTTTTTCGAAAAATAATTCGATAATTTCGTAAGAAATTTTTGAAAATTTTAAATGATACCCTCTAAACGATGATACCCTAAAAGATAGCATATAATATTGTACTCTTTACTGAATCACCCTGTATATACAAGAATTTTGTTATAATTATTATTAATTAGCATATTTATATAAAATAATTAGAAGTTTTTGTTAATTATTTTAATTACTAGAGTTATTAATGTATGAATAAAAATGGTAACAATGGCTATGATTGAAAAAAAAACTCTTATAATGAAAAAGAAATCATTATCAATAAAATTATTTAATTGTAATTTTAATTTATTAAGAAATAACTTCAAATGTTATGAAAAATTATTGATTTTAAAATTTTAAAATATTTGTTTTTAGGTTCGGAAGACAAAATTATTACCTTTTAAGTTTATTACTATAATTAGAGAAAACTAAAGATCTTATAGGAAATATTTGGCTAATACAATTGAATTTGTTAAAATTATTTTAAGGAAATTTTAATTTTTATATTTTTACTTTCTATGTATGTATGTATATACATAATGTAAATCATTTAAAAAGAAAACTGAAATAAATAAAAAATTGTGTGTATGTGTTTTTTTTTTAATTATTTAAAAAAATTTTTAATGATTCATATAAGGTAAATTTGAGAACTGGTTAAAAATATGGATTAATTTACGTCTTTTAAATATATAAATATATATATATATATAGAACCAGTTTTAAATATAATTGTATATAATTGATTTTAGTATATATATGTAGTTATCAAAATTTAATTGTACAATTATTTTGTATTTACGTAAGCTTTAAAAAACATGAGATGGAATTATATTTATTTGGTAAGTAAAAATGGACTTCAAATACTATAGAAATTAATTTTGTTACTCATTATAAATCTTTTCAATTTTCTTTTTTTCACAAAATTATATTATTGTTAATATAAGTAAGTAAGTATTAATGTCTACGGCAAGCTGGTTGGTCATCTATCTGTTTAAGATCCCAATGACGCACAAAACTGCGGTATGGCTATCTACGATATCATGCACAAACCCTGTGCTCCTAAACCCCTAGGCAATAGGAAAAAAAGTATTAACACTATTCCTACCGGGCCTGGCCAAATGCCCGTTTTTAGATTTTCAACTGGAATTTCCTACATTCAATGTAAGCGAATCGCCTTTGAACTTTATGATTTTTCCTCATATATATGTATATATGATACATTTTTCAATATTCACTTATTTTTTTATTGTTTATTTTCTGAGAAAAAATTGTAGCCTGTCTTACTTACCACGACCGGCCTATTGACCGGTGGTACGATTGTAATAGTTTTTCTCTAAGACTCAATGCCAAAACTATAAATTTGTTACAAACGAAACAGAAGATAAGCAAAGAAAATCAACCAATACCTATCGCAACTTCAAGTACAAGTTCCCGTCAACGGAAAACATGTGAGATAAGATATTGTAAAGATAATAAGACGAATAAAATCTGAATAAAATGTAAAAAGTACGTATGCGGAAAATGTACAGTTGAGAAGCCCATTTATAACAAGTGCGACTGGCTACTGGTCTGCATTCAATATTGAAAAGTATAAGTTGTGAAAGACCGGTAATTTGACCGGCCGCGTTAGCAATAGGTATACGTGAATTTTCGGTAGGAATTGTGTTAATGTATTGCATAAAGATTTGCACTGAAAAATGTATGTAGACCAAAATGCAACTGAAATTAAGTTAAAAAGAACATTCACTGATAGTTTAAAAAGAGACCGGGTAATAACGTAAAATTGACATTTCTGTTAATACTTCCGACTAATTTGGCAAAATTGTATTGTGATCCACATTGGATCTTAAAAATTTTCTTCAGAAGCTTAAACACATAGTGGTTCGTATAGCATTTATTTACACTTCTAATTCATATAATGAATGTCTGCTAAAAATTATTTGTTTTTCCTAAATAGTAAATTTTTCTTTTATATTTAGTTTACTGTATAAATTTTCATCATCGTACACTGTATGCATATTTTTTTTTATTTCGTTTATCTTATAACATTTTTTATTTATAAGGAAAACAAAATAAAATTTTAAAATCATTGACCTGCGACTAAATAAACAAATAGTTTACAAGATACTTGAACAGAATTTAATCAATTTAATATTATTTTTAATTTTAATTAAGCACACTAAATTGTCGAAAAATCGCAATTGAGAGAATTTATTGAGTTGAAACGGGCTATTTTTTTGTTTTTTTTTTTTTTTTGTATAAAATCATTTGTTTTTGAATTTTGCAAATATCAATAAAATCTTTAAATATTTACAATATTTTTTTTTTAAATCAAATCCTTTGAAATATTTTTGATTTTTTGAGAAAAAAATTCAATTTGTGCTTGCAGCATTATTTCCTCTCTCATGAATTTCTTTCTTCCTTTTATCTCTCATAATACATAAATTCTCTTCTTGTTATTTTAGTTTGGGTTTCGTATATACCGTTTTATCAAATTAATAAAACTTTCCACTTCTGAATCTAATTGATCTTTAATCTGTTGGGCCGCATTATATTTAAATCTCTAATAATATCATGTTTACAGCTTAACCAATCTGTGGTTATGTTAAACAAAGTGGGTTTGCCTTATCTGTCACCAAAGTTCAATATAACAGCAGAGTGATCTGAATTCAAATCCAAATTATCTTCCAAATTTTAAAAAAACTTGGGTAAAATCTTTTTGGAGATAAAACAAATCAATAAAATCCGGGATTTCGTTGGTGTCTGTAGGAGAATAAGTCGAATAAGTCGAACTTAATGAAGAATCCTTAATTTTCTATTCCTGGTTGAAGTTTTTCTTTAGCTCCAATCTACATGTTTGGCATTTTCGTTACCTTCCTTATACATAAAGATCTCGGGGGGCAGTATACTAAGGTAAACATTGATTGCTTAGTAAACTTAGTTTTAACCATAATAAGTGAAGCCTCAGACCTCTCTATTTTGTATTCTTCGTTAAGTTTTATGGTTTCCTTAACAAAAAATACCAACACAAATTCGAGAAGAAAATTTTTTTTAATTTTTCTGCCTTTAACTCGTTCCTTTAATTACGTTATTCATCTGTTCTGTATTATTAGTGTAATAGGCACAATCCTTATTATTTAAACAACTACACATATGTATTAGTCAAATGGGAACTCAAATGGGAACAAAAATATTCAAAAGTAAATTTTTTTGCAAATTTAATTTTAATATTTTGTCATTATAATGTACTCTACTATTGTGTATCCATACTTAATTTTTATTAACTCTAAAATTTTACAGATTAAAAAAACAAAACAAAAAATAATTTTTTAATGTAATATTTCAAAGTTTCTTGGTTGTTACCTAGTTAGTTTACTTACTAAGCTTACTATATAGAGGTAGTATGTACTGCTAAGTATATAATCAACAATATTTACGAGTATAGTTAGTAAAGAAAAATCATATAACGTAACGTAAACATTTTCATGAAGTAAAGCAAAAAAAAAAAAAAAAAAGAAGAAAAATGAAAAATAAAAACAGAAAATTAAAAGATTGCGCTGATGGCTGGTTTTCTTGTAAAATCGTACGTTATTTTTTTTCCTCTTTTGTTTTTCTTTTTCTTCATTTTTACTTTTAGTTACTGAATATTGCGCTATGCGATTCATACTTGTGCTTTTTTAATGTTTTTTGTTTTTTTGCTCAGATTTATTAAAAAAATTTTTACTGAGGTAAATAAAAAAAAAAAATAACATTTTTGTTTTTCCTTGTTTTCTGTTTTTGTTTTCTGCTTTTTTTTCTTTTTTTGTAATTCCTAAAGAAAGCGTAAGTGTATCCATCCATTCATTTCCAGTCAAAGTTAAACCTTCGCGGCGCGAAGATTTCTATATTACCGCTACTTTAAAATTTTTTTTCCGCTTTTTTTTTTATTAAATAATTGGGGATATAGAAATATTTAATTAAAAAGAAAATAAAAGTGAATTTTTTTTTCTTAAGTTGTTTTGTTTTAAACAAGAATTGAAAATTTTTAAGTATACATGTATGTACATATGTTGACAAGTACCGTTCCACAGAAAAATTTATTTTTGTTTACTTGCTGCTTTTCTTTGAGCATTTTTAATATTTAAAAAAAAAAAAAAAAAAAAAATAATAAATTGTCATATAAATGTGATTAGTCAACTGTGCAACATTTTTTAAGTTTTAATTTTTTGTTTATTGTGAATTGCAATATTTAGGAAATAAAATAAAAAATTAAAAAATTTTTTAATAAAATTTTGTATTAAGCAATAAAAATATTTTTTATTTGAGACTTGACTATGCGCTCAAAGATATTGTGAAAGTGTTTTGGAATTTTTATATTTTATAATAAACAAATTATAATTATAGGTATGTTGGAGTATATAAGTGCACTTAAAATAATATATGAATATTTGTACATACATAAGTATATGTATGTGTAATTTTAAATTAATTTTTATTCATTATTTCGTAATTTCATAAACGGAAAATTCATAATATTGATTTTAATTTGAAAATAATATATTTCCATATCTGTAGTTATGTATTATCTATATGTATGTAATTTACAAAAATTAAATTGTTAATGTGCATATGTATGTACGTGCCACTACGAATATCTACTTTATTTTTATTCAAATCTATTGCTTTATAATAAATATGATAATCCCTTTCTTTTTCTTATTTTTGAGTGATCATCAGTGTTGCAGCTATGACTTGTCTTAAAATGTAATCAAATTCAAAATGTAATCAGTTGTAAATTTAATGTAGTAGATTAATGTCGTCGTTAATTATCTATAGCATAAAAACTATAAGTAAAATACGAAAAATACTAACGAATATTATTTTACTATTTTATTTTTGTAAATTTTATTCATATAAGAAATTATATTATACTGTGAATATAAAAAATGGGTCTTACCGCGCAACAACTCTCTATAATAGCTTTAAAAGGAAAACAGTTTTGACTACATACTCGTATAATTAACAGTTGTTTTGTTCAAAATAATAATTACAGCATCCAAAAAATTGTTACATATACCAAATCTATTAGGAATTTTAAATTAAGTACAGATTAACGTACTTGCTATTATGTATTTTTTTTTTAAATGTAGAAGATTTACTACATATTTAATAGATCAGTAACTCTGGTGATTATTTTCAAAAAAAAAATTTTGTTTTGTAATAAAATTTTTGAAGTGTATAAGAGATTTTTTCTCTATTTTTATTAAAAAAAAAATTTTTTTTGAGCACGGCACTCATCATGTACAAATTATACATATATGTATATATAATCATCTTATATATTATAAACGTATGTATGCATATATACATACATTAAATTAGACAACCGAAAAAAAATTTCTTACATACTTTACAGCGACAGGTGGCACCATATCAAATTACTACAATAATAATAATAATTTTTTTTTGTCGGTGGGTACTTTTTTTCAGAGGAAACGCTTTCTAAATAATAAATTTAAAAAATTGTATTTAATTTTTTCTTTTTGCTAATTCATTATAAAATTGTTATAAATCTTTTGTTGTCATTATTGCTAATGTTCAGTTTAAATTCAACCTAAAAAAACCAAATTTTTAATATTTGTATATTTGCATATATATATGTATGTGCATGTATGTATAAAAATATAAAATCAAATATTAAAATAAAAATTTAATCATTTTGTAAAATATTATAATTGACTGCCTCATCACAAATATATTTTTTTTTTAAATACTTAATATTAAACTTAAATTAGTACTGTTTAAACTGTTCAGTATATTAACCTAGCTATATTTTGAAATTTTAATTTAATTTTCGTATATAAATTTTTATTTCTTTCCAAATGACAATTGGAAAAAAATAATTTAAAATTTGATTTTGTGTGAATGTAGAGAAAATTACATGCTATTTGATTGAAATCACACCCCTGTGACAAAAGTTAAAATAATTGCAGATAAAATGGGCTAATAAAAACCTATTATTTTAAATACTTTATAGAGTCAATTGACAAGTACATATTATTTTAAAACAATAATCTCAAAACCTAAAAAATCAAATATATATGAGTTAATACAGTTATGTTGCGGGAATACGAAATATCGATTTCACAAAATGTGCTCTCAGTATTATAATTCTATATATCGAATATTATGTACAAGGTACAATACTCAGTTAATTAATTATTTTAAATTATATGAAGAAATAAATTATAGAAACTTATGTAATATACATTAATAATGATTGCATATTAGAGAGGTGTAATATCAATTGTGGCGTGAAGGTATAAATAAAATAATGTACATAATTTATATAATATATTTTAATTATATTTTTTAATTAGAAATTTGACATACATTCATTAATTTATGCGCAAATATGCCTATATTTCGTGCGTAAACATGCATAAACATAGTTATTTTCGTATATTATGTGCAAATGTGTATTAATTGATAACAAGTTACGTGCTGGTAATATTTCTTAATTAACTATCGTATGAATGCTTTGATTTTATTGTTGTTTGGATTTTCATGTTTTGACAATTCAATTTGACTCATTTTGGTTTGCCATAAAGAGAATGACGACCGGGAAATGCTCCAAAATTTTTCCAAATAATTATTATAAATTAGGTAATGCATGGGCAATTAGTTTTGTATTTTGGACTTGTAAATTGACCACCGAGATCGTACAATGTGACACATATTTCTTTGGAGGTCTGTAGATCAAATAAATTTTAATATTGCTCATCTAGCATATAGATTGAAACATTGGAAAATTATATTTTCACAGCGTGAAATGTAATTTAAAACACTTGAGTAATGGCAACTCTTTATATTTCAATATAATTTTAATATTTTCAAAAATATTCTAAAATATATTTTATATACTTATGTTTTACGATACAATGTAATAGCTTTAATGTAATAAATAAAACAGAACTTTAATTAAACACGACTTTCGTGATATTTTTAATTTAAATTAAATTGAAATACGAAATATTTGAAAATTATACGAAATGTCAATTTTAATTTGAAATTAAAACATTAATAATATTGAGATTCAAAGAAACAATTGTATGCAAAACAATATTTTATGTAAATACGTGTATGTCACATTTACCATACTCATACGTGCATATTATTAAAATTTTATGTATTTAAGACTACAATAAAGAATCCTTTACATTGAAATGATGTCCGGTTGAATCTGTGCAAAAAGTATGTTGGTTAATTAAAAAAAAAACTTGAATTTTGTTTTCAATTACCAGTTAAATGGCTTTTAACTTTTAATTTCAAGTTATAACATTAAAATTAATTTAATATTGTACTTATCCGGTTATTTATAATTTTAATATGATTGCATAACATGAGAATTATTAACCCACGATTATCACTTAATTTTAACATATATGTATGTCTACTGATTAAAACTAGACCTTATATTCATTCCTTTTACAGGCGCAAAGTATTTACCAGAGTGTTTCATATGAGATGACAAGCAATTTCTAGCAAAATATTAGATTTTGGAAGAGGGGTGGGTTAAGATAGGCAGCTATGGTCGTTCTCGATCTTGAAGTATTTTAGGAAAAATGTTGTTTGCGGTGGAGGTGGGAGATCTGAGAGATGTATGGGCAACTTTTGAGGGTTAAATAAAATTAGATTAAAAAACTTCGGCCGAACAAATATCCATAACAGCTTTGAAGCTATTGAAGTTATAGAGCGACATATTGCTTAAAACTTTTTTTCACAGTTAATAGATCTACATAAAGCCAGTGTCAATGGTTGTTGTCACAATTGCAGTTTTTGAATAAAAATTGCTTAAACATGAAATTTTAAATTAGAAAACTGAAAATTTTTCAAAAACCTTAGATATCTCGCAAAAGTTAGCTATTGTTCTTTTTTCCAGACAACCCTGTATATATAATAAATATAATATTAACCGAATCTATAATTAATGTGGTTAGAGTGTCTGAACTTATTTAAAAATTGCATTATTTATATTATATTAAAGTGCATTATTAATAGATTGTGCGAGTACGAGTATTTTATATTATAAAACGGAAAAGACTAGAAGTGCATCTATAGTTGAAACGTGACATTTAATTTATCACAATTTATCCGATGTTAACAAATTTAAATTGTTAATGCATAATGTTCTTGAAAAATTGTTTCCTCTCCGATAATAACAAACAAATGCACGTGTTAATCACGTATTTATTTTCGTAATTGTAATAGTAAAATATAATCATAAAAGAATGCAAAATTTGAATTAAACTTGGATTACTCTTCTTTAATAATTCCGCTTTCAAAGCCAGGAAGGAGTACAACAATTTAATGTTCGAACATATTTCGGCATATTAAAGTGTTAGCTATGGTACCGAAGAAAATGTTAGGTAAATATTACTATAGTGACCCAGTTCATGAAAATGACCCAGGTTATTGACCCAGTTCAAAGAAAATTAACAAACTTCTAATAAACAGGCTTTAGAAATCCATTCATTGCAGCAAGTTTTAAAATTATGTATTCAGCTTCATTTTGGTATAAACAGAGGGCCGTTTAAAATTAAAAATACACTTTCTTCAAATATGATTTCTTCAAATACACCATATACTTAGTTGTTTCGTCTTATTTTACACAACCCTATAAAAATTTTTAAAATTATGCAGAAATATTAAAAAAACAAAAAAAAAAATATTTTTATTAAATTTTTTTTTGTATAACACACACATTTTGTTGAATGTACAATGTAATTATAATTTCTCTTTTCTCTTCTCTTTTGACATGTAAAATTTTAAATACTGGCATAAAATGTGTATACGAAATTCTTAGGAATGAACTCACGTGCGGAATGAGTGTGTTATTGTCAATGTTTTACAATGTCGGCAAAAACGACAAAAAAAAACATGTGAAAGAAATTTTAGTTTTCTTTCTCTTTTTACCTTAACAAGTTCATTTTTACATGAATTTAGAATAAAAACGATTATTAAAATTCGCTTGTCTTTGCTATTTAATAAATTATTGTGAAACTGATAATAATTATATGACATTTTTTGATCGGTATTCAAAATAATACTTTGTCGGAAAAAATAAAAATTTTTTTATTAAAATTGACAAAGGGTAATTAATGAAAATTCTTCAAATTTAAATTATTTTAAGAGTAAATTATCGAAAATTTCCATAACGTATAGAATTAATACGAATTTTTAATTCTAAAATCATTATTTAAGCGCTTTTCCAATAAGAGTGCCCGAAATTTATTCTATTATACATGTGGCAATGAATTGATACATAGGCTTGTACCAAGAAGCTGTTATTAAAGGTTTTTGGATTAAATTTTGTTTGGTTAAAATAAAATCGTTGGTCTACA